ACAAGGGAAGAACCGTTTCTGGCAAATAGATGAAAGGGATCTCTGAGGTCAAACCCATAGAAGTTCCCTTAGTCACTTGTGTAAAAACAATGTCGAAGTCCAGTATTTTTGAAAATGTCCTTTTCATCCTTTGAGGTGTCTTAGTACCCTCTAGTGGTGTTGGTCTAACATTTTGTTATGCATATTTGTAATCTGCCAGCCAAGGTCAACATTTTCAATGTATGTCTTGAATACTCTATCGATGAGTTAGTCAGCTAAAAATCCTCATTCTTCGTCAGTATATTTCCAACCTCAGAGCTTCTATTTAAGATTCTGGAGTGGAGGAAAGAATATTATTATTCATTTCTTTCTTCTAAGACTAAAGGAGAAAATATTTAGCAGTTTTTCCTACCTTAGAGCCCATCTTCAAAGAAACAATTTAAATATGTTGACAGACGGTAGCATAGGAATGCATTTCATTTAAATTCAACATTATGTGTTTTTGAAAACTTCTGTTAACAGATGTGAAAATTCCGTTCTAAAGCTGTGCCTGCAAAATGACAAATATTTGGTAATTAACATATTAGTATCTGTGTGAGAGTGATTGTTGATCAGTCATTACATGAAAAAACAGATTTATACCCTTTTAATTTGTTCTGAATTCTTGTCCTAGTATGTTCATCTTCCAGTTAATTCATTTTCTTTTTGCAAATATGGTCAGCATGTGTTTTTGTTTTTAATTTGTTTGTTTAAAGAAAATGGCAGAGAAGTGTGTAAAAGAAAGTCAGTAATGACAAAGAAAACCAAGAAATCTAAATACTTGTAAATTTCAAAGAAGCCATCTACCTGTAACATAAAATAGATGGTTAGAGATGTGTTTTTCACACTATTTCACTAAAAAAATTTGAATTAATAGAGAAGATTATATTTCCCCAGATCTAGATGTATAACATGGCAAAGAAGGCCTTTAACCCTCAGATTTTTATAACATGTAAAAATGATACTTTTAGGGAGGATTTTTCTGATTACTAAAATATATGCTCATGTGGAAATGTTAAAAAGTACAGAAAAGGGACCAGTTAGCGTAATAGCTATGTCACTGAATTCCCATGTAGTTGACCGCGGTTTGCATCCCAGACTCGTTGGCTTAAAACTCACGCCGGGTGCGTGTGTGTGCGTGCCCAAGATCCGGAGAGGAGAACGGAGGAGAAGGGATTACTGCATGGCCATCCTCCCTGGGGGGTGATTTCTCGCTTTCTGTCTCTCTGTCTCTCTCTGTCTGGTGAGCGCACGCGCCCTATAGCAAAAACCTCTCCAAAAAGAGGGAAAAAAAAAGTACAGAAAAAATGTGGGAAAAAAATCCTCCTAATTACAAATCTTGGGTATATTTCTTTCTGATCTTCTTTTCTGTATGTATTACAAATTGAGATCAAGTCCTATATTACACATTTGCCAAACTGTATTTTTTATTGAGTAAATAAGCGTTTTTTTCCCTGCTAATGGTTATGTAGTATTCTAGGCTATTTATATATCATAATTCATCATTTTATGTTATTATTGTTAGCCAGTTAACTTGAAGCAATCATGTTAATCACCTGTAGTTTTAGCCTTTTGCGTTATTGTAGTTTTTCTCTAATTTGGTAATAAACCGAGTATGAGCAGATTTATTTTTCTGATAGTACAAGTTAACATAAATAGGCTCTACAAGGTTTAATGTGTAAACACACGGTTTTTGCATGCACTTCTCATATATCCTGGTGATTTTTGTATAAAATACCACTTATGTGCTTTGCTTCTTTTTTTTTTTTGAGAGGTTTTCGCTATAGGGCACGTGCGCTCACCAGAAAGAGAGAGACATAGAGACAGAAAGCGAGAAATCACCCCCCAGGGGGGATGGTCACGCTGCAGTCCCTTCTCCTCCATTCTCCTCTCGGGATCTTGGGCACGGACGCACACGCGCCCGGTGTGAGTTCTAAGCCACCGGGTGCGGGACGCGAACCACGGTCGACTACGTGGGAGTCCAGCGACATAGCCATTACACTAACTGCTGGTTCCCTCATGTGCTTTGCTTTTCAAATGACTTGTCTGAGTAGTCTTAAAGCCACAGCACTGTGAATACTTTATGAAAAATAAAGAATACAGTTTTGGCTTTGAGCAACCTCACCTGCAGTTGAAGTTACTTCCATAGTGAATCTTTGCTAAAGCAGTGCCTTTCACATCCTTTTTCTGCAGATTGCTTAGTGGATTAATAGTGACAATAGTCCACCTGTTTGTTTTCTTTTTCCACATTCAAAATATAAATATACCCAAGATTTGTGATGATAAAGATTGGCATTTTCTTTATATTTTTCTGTATTTTTCAGCATTTCTACACAAGCACATATTTTAGTAATCAGAAAAGTCTTCCTTAAAAATACCATTTTATGGGCTGCAAAAATCTAAAGGTAGAAGGTTGTTTTCACCCAGGTTATACTTGTAGATGGTCAAACAAAGCTGTGATCTCACCTCCTCTTACTGAGAGACTCCAGTCTGTTTATCCTAGTGGGTTCCCTGGTTTATTCCATGCCAGCTTCCGCCTTAAGCCTTGTTTTCTATGTATGGCAATGAGATAATTGCCCAAGTATATTCTTCAATGACTTCCATATGAGCCATGGTAATAATGACCATGATGGCTAATTTTTGGAAATTGTTGTACTGTATTTTGTTAATTGTCTTACAAAATCCACATACATCACCAATATTAATCATTTTCCTCTATGCTGATCCCTTGTGAACACCAAAGAATTATTTTTGTTGTTGCTGTTCATGACTTTATTCTCAGCATAGAGCACAGCTTCAAGCAGCTAGTCGATAGTCACATAGTGGTTCTATAAAAACATATGTGAGTCTTTTACACCCAGTTAAATGGTTTTCAGCTCTTTTACGGTTACTTTCCCTTAATTTTTCTACTCTTTTTAAAAACCCTGTAGAACACTGTTTAAGTCAGTACATCTGCATAGGCCCACAGTTTTGTACACTGTGGTTCATCTTACTCAACTAGAAAATAGGTTGCTAATGCAGTTAGAGCAGTAGCAGGAACAGCAGCAGCCATAGCCAACACTTTAATGAGCACTTCCTGTATGACGTGCTCTTTTCTAAGCTTACATGTGTTCGTTCATTTAATTAGTACCAGAACCTTATGGAGGAGGTACTATTACTGTACTCATTACAAACATAAAGTAACCAAAGTATGAGGTTTATTTCATAACTGAAAGTGGTGAAGTCAGACTGCAGCCTAGGAAGACTGACTTTCAAGTCCAACATAATGACTTTTTACTGAGCCCTTATTGTGGGCCAGCCCTTGAAGTCCATGCATTATTTAGGTTATATCTTCTCAGTCTCATACTGTGAAGTTGGAGCTCTCATTGTGTCTGATTTACACGTGCGTAGAAGTGAGGCTTAGAAGGGCTGAGTAACTTCCCTTGTGCTACAGGCTGTTCACCACAAGCAGAGTTTGTACCTGTGTTGTCTCCAAGTCAGTGCTTCTAACTACCAGCTGCATTACCCCTCCTGGGCCTTTATATCTTCTTACAGAGGTCATTACAAATAGAAAATCTTACAGGAATAATTCATTTCAAAAGGCCACCGTTGAGTCCTTGAAGGTTTTTGTTTGTTTGTTTGTTTGTTTGTTTGTTTTGGTAATTAAGTAATTTTTTTGTTTGTTTTTTGTTTTTTGTTTTTTGAGAGGTTTTCGCTATAGGGCGCGTGCGCTCACCAGACAGATAGAGAGAGACAGAGAGACAGAAAGCGAAAAATCACCCCCCAGAGGGGATGGTCACGCCGCAATCCCTTCTCCTCCATTCTCCTCTCGGGATCTTGGGCACGCACGCACACGCGCCCGGCGTGAGTTTTAAGCCACTGGGTCCGGGACGCGAACCGCGGTCGACTACGTGGGAATCCAGCGACATAGCCATTACGCTAACTGCTGGTTCCCGGTAATTAAGTAATTTTGATGGCCTCCAGCCTTAGTGGACTCCTGTGAATCTCCCTCCATCATAGTATGTGTCTGAGTGGAGGAGGACTTTTCCAGGGCTGTTTACACAGGCTTTATAAATTAAGCAGGAATCAGGAGGCGAGAAAGGAAGGAATTTAGCAGCAATATCAAAGACGACTCTACTCTCTAATAGTATAAGTAAAATACAGTTACATTGAAATTGTCAAATTAAGGGTAAGGCACACGTAGAAATTTTTCCTGTGTTACAAGTGAGCCATCCTTTTTGGGGAATAATGATAACTTAATAAATTAATTAAAGAAATTTGGAGGCAATTGGAGTATTTGTTGGCACTTAGATTTGACCTGCTAACGAATGGGAAGTTATCATATGTTTTTTATGAGGACAGATCACAAGATGATGAAACCCTGCATAGAAACTCATTGATAGGTCGTTTGGAAGTTGTTTGACGAAGGACTGATTTTTCTTACAACTTTCAACATGGCTTCTTTCTGAATTTCTACTCACCCTTGTTTATCTTAGTTTCACTAGGAACTATTGATGACTTTGGGTGGGTCTAACAATCCATATAAAGTAATCACATGAGTTGATAACTTGATTTCAAAGGTCACCTTTTTTTTTATTTTTAATTTTTGGAGAGGTTTTTGCTATAGGGTGCGTGTGCTTGCCAGAAACACAGAGACAGAGAGACAGAAAGCGAGAAATCAACCCCCAGGGGGGATGGCCACTCTGCAGTACCTTCTCCTCCATTCTCCTCTTGGGATCTTGGGCATGCACGCACACGCGCCCAGCGTGAGTTTAAGACACTGGGTCTGGGACTCGAACCATGGTCGACTGCGTGGGAGTCCAGCGACATAGCCATTACACTAACTGCTGGTCCCTCAAAGGTCACCTTTGTTTTATAAGAGCATACCTGGCAGTAATATGCTAGCTAGTCAGGAAACAAAATAATGCTTTGCAAATAGCAATGAAATATTTATGTTTATTTCTGTGTGTGCTTTTGTGACATTATTTTATTTACTTTTAAAGAAATCAACGAATGTACTGTGAACCCAGATATCTGTGGAGCGGGACACTGCATTAATCTGCCAGTGAGGTATACCTGTATATGCTACGAGGGTTACAAGTTCAGTGAACAGCAGAGGAAATGTGTTGGTAAGAGTTATTTTCGATACCCAAAATGATTAAATATCAAATCTGATTTGCACATTGGGAGTATTTTTCCTTTAAAATAATTTAACCATCTTGGAATGTCGCTGTTTTTCATTTTGAAAACTATCCCTCAGCTAAGGAGCCAAGACAAAAAAATGGTTTATTAAACTCCAGGATTCTCTTGTGTCTTTGATTAATGCTACTTATCTTGTCAGCTATAATATATTTACAGAGGGGTAAAATAATTTCCATAATTTTGAGATAAAATAAGTAAAATAAGAGCTGTAGAAAGAGTTGCTGTCAAACCCTTGCTGAGCAGAGACAAATCAGTGTTAATATGTGCTGTGGTGGGACTGGTAGGTGGCATGGTGGTTAAAAACACTGAACTCCCACATGGCCTGTAACAGTTCAAGTCCTGGACCTGGCAACTTGCTTTCTCTCTCTTGTGAGTTCATGTGCCCTGCAGCAAATGAAAAATAATGATAATAAAAATAAATTTAAAAAATTATGCTGCAGTAAAGAGTACACTCATCTAAATATATAAAATCTAATTTCTAAAGGGATTTTTACATCAGAAATCTATGCTGGCATGAAGCTATTAATGAATTAATAATATTAGATCCCACATAGACTTCTTTGGGGAAAAAATCTGAGAAAGAGGCATGATAGAGTTAAGTAGATGTTTCTCAGATGTTCTGAATTTGATTTCTTTTTTTTTTCTTTTTTTTTTTTTTGAGAAAATTCAGCATTCGGTCAGAAAAGCCAATATAATGTAGCAAAGGACATATCTAATTAATCCTAATCATGTGTGTGAATTTAGCCATTAGGTTTTGGGTGCATTGGGGCCTGTGGAGGCATCTGCCTGTTCGTGGCATAGCTGTTCCTCTTTCATTTACACATCGTACGTACAGGTATCCACAGTGTGGACCTAAACAATCATGATGAAAGTCAGTAGGGATGGTCTAATCCAGCTCTACCCATGTGCACTGAGAAGCGCCCCTCATGGCACTTCTGACTCCCCCCTCGGACAGCAAATTCCTGTGCTTAGATGACTCCGTTATCAGGAGAGTCCTTCTGTGTTGACCTGAAATCTGTCTCTTTGAAATTACCAGTGTCATGGTTTTTAGTTTCCACTTTGATGCATTAAGCAATGAACTGCTTCAGTCTTCCTTCTAATATTTGAAGAGAAAGAACATATCTCCTTTCAGAACTTTCCTGAGTTATAAAGGTCTGTGGTACCCAAGGAACTGTAAAAGGGTTATTTTGCAGAACCGGGAGCCTGATTATTGCTACACTGAGCTGATCTTTACATGCATACTTTCGTTAACAGATATTGATGAATGTACTCAAGTCCAACATCTCTGCTCCCATGGACGCTGTGAAAATACCGAGGGAAGTTTCTTGTGCATTTGCCCAGCAGGATTTATGGCCAGTGAGGAGGGGACTAACTGCATAGGTAAAGGCATTGTTCTTCCTGCTGCAGAAATTCTCAGATCTGGGTTTTTATATCCCCAAAATCCCATCTGTTCTGTGCATATGTCAATGACTCAGAATTTTTTTTTTTTTTTTACAGAGGTTTTTTATTTTTTTGTTTTGTTTTGTTTTTGGCTATAGGGTGTGTGTGCTTACCAGAGAGACAGAAAGACAGAGAGACAAGAAGTGAGAAATCAACCCCTGGAGGATGGCCACACTGCAGTCCCTTCTCTTGGGATCTTGGGCACGCACACATATGTGCCTGGTACAAATTTTAAGCTACGAGGTCTGGGACTCAAACTGCAGTCGACTTTGTGGGAGTCCAGAGACATAACCATTACACCAGCTGCTGGTCCCAATGACCCAGAATTTTTTATTCAACACCTATAATGACACTGCTAGATTCTGAAAGATTAAAAGTTGGATTTTTTTCCCTTCCAGCACTTTTGAAAGAAGAGTGTAAAATATGTGCAAAGACAAGATGCAGTAAATGTTGCTTTTGAACCCTGCACGTATCAAAACTGTGATTTTGTAGCGTGTTAAACAGATAAAAGAGAAAATAGTTCACTATTAAATTTGAGCCAACCTGAGAGATGGGAGAAGTTTGGAATATTATTTTGGGAAATCATACTTGACAGTGTTTTCTGCTTTGCGTAGATGTTGATGAGTGTCTGAGGCCGGATGTATGTGGGGAAGGACACTGTGTGAACACCGTCGGGGCCTTCCGGTGTGAATACTGCGACAGTGGCTTCCGTATGACCCGGAGAGGCCACTGCCAGGGTGAGTCTGCTGGGAGAGCAAGGAATCTGTGCCATCTGCAGGTGCTGGGCACACATGCCTTGGTGGTACAGGTGTCAGTCTTGACCCCAGAGCCAAGAACCACTTGACTGGTTCTTGTTTCCCGTCACTACACACACACACGACACCAGCCTAACCAAGCTCTGTTTGCTTTCTGGATTCACAGCCTCTTCGCCTCATTTCAGGAGCTCTGTCTGGATTCTTTTCTGTGTTCGTATTTCTTATGTTTTACCTCAGTATCTGCCTTTCCTGGTATTTGGAGTGAAATCATTTCAAAACAATTAATTGCAGAGTATCTTAGGACAAACTCAGACTTAGTGACAGTGTCTGGATCATCCATCTGGGAACAGGGTGTAGGTATAATCGGTGTTGATTTTTCATTTTCAACCTTTTCACCTCGCTCTGTTCCGTTGTCTCAGCTGCTTTCTTTCACATGTGTTCTGGGACTTTCTTGCAGACTTCCTACAGAAGAGCTGTCTGCCCAACTCTGTGTCCGCTTCCATCTGTGCCAGATAAAAGTTCTTCATTACTGACCACAGCAATGAGTTTGCTGTCATTATAAAAATGTTTTGAAAAATGTTTATAGCATGGCCCAAATTATTATCTATTTCTTATTTCTGCTCATGTTTGTGTTCCAGTTACATAAGTTCTTTTCGTAATCACCATGGTATCTTTTTGTAATTGTTTTTATGAAGAAATCCATTGAGCATAGGCTAAAATTCTGCCTTGGAAACGTGAGGGCAAAGGAGCAATAGCTCTGTGTGAGGATCTGGATGGGGGCACCGTGCCACTTGTTTGGGGCTCCCTGCCTAGCTGCTTGAGAATCAGCCTCTTGTCATATACGGCTGGGCTTTGAGATGGAGGGAGTCTTAGACAAGGCTGGCGTAGTCTGCTCTCAGCTGTCCCTTGGCTTCTGCCAGTTGGTTTTCTGCATAGCTCTAATGACCCAGGCCTGGAGGGAGAGCTAATTAGACATTTTTTGGCAGCCAAACATCTGCCTCTCCACTGGCTTCTTGCCTCAGCCCCCTTGGGTTCTAGTCTGGAGAGGAGTATTACTGGGTCTCTGATTAACTCTGATCCAAGCAGACCCATGCCCCCTCCCCTGATGGCTGAGGGCCACGGGACTAGTGCAGGTGTAAAGTGTCCTCACTCTGCTCTTGCAGAGAATCCCCCTCTGCTATAAAGAGGCAGCGTGGGAATGGGAAAGAGCCATAACTATGAAAGCAGCTCATGGCCTGCATACCAAGTACCTGCTGACCTGGGCCTAGTGACTTTGCTTCTTTGAAACTTACTTTATCAACCTGTACTGTGGGAGCCATAAATTAACTTTAAAGGTCACCCTGAAAGTAAATGTGCATTGCTGTCTCTTATATGGTCCCTCTCACCTTGTTAGTTTGCAAGAAGTTTTAGTTTCTTTAAACTCCCCATTCCTTGGCACCGTTTGTTTCTGTATAGATCTCGCCAGCATAGGTTGTCAGGAAAAGTGATGATGTATTTTTCTGTTTTTCTATGCAAAAATGTATCATAACTTTCCCCACAACTCAATATAAATGCAGGGAGTGCTAAGCCTAAAAAAAGGATAGTTTTGGGGGGCAATAGATGGCATAGTAGTTATATCATTGGACTTGCACATGGCCAGCTGCAATTCGGGTCCCAGACTTGGGAGCTCGAAATTCATGCTGGCTGTGTGTGCATGCGTGCCCAAGGTCCCAGGAGGAGAATGAAGGAGAAAGGATTGCAATGTGGCCATCCTCGGGGGGTGGGGGAGGGGTTTCTCACTTTCCCTCTTACTGTCTCTGTCTCTCTCTCTCTGATGAGTACACACACCCTAAGGCAAAAACCTCTTTAAAAAAATAGTTTTTGTTTTTTATCTGAAAACCTTTATATATAAAGTAGCATTCTCAAAGAAGTCAAATATGATCCTTAAATTCTATGCATAGTCCTAGAGTGAGGAGATAAGATATTTAAGTAATAAGGATGGAAAGGAATAGAAAATTGAAAATTATATAATGAAATTGAGAGCTGACAGGAGACTATGCAGTAATACTCAATATATAGAAATTTTTTTAACAAAAAATACAACCAGAGTAAATAATACATATAAGAAGTCTTCCAACAGCTTGTAGGAAGTACATGTTATGGAAAAACTATCCATGAATTTCAAAAATTTTTGCACCAAAAGAATTCCTACTTTTATTCCATTTTTTCCATCAACTTTCTGAAGTACCCTGGTGGAATTCTATTTCCATGCAAAGGTTTGAAAAGAAGAAAGAGCCAAACAATGTTGCTGTTTTCTGATTCTTTTGTGGACCAAAACCAAAGGTCTCCCAGTCTCTGGCTCTCAGAAGATTTTCTCAGCTGTCACTAACAAAGCTGTTCTCAAATAGCACCAGTCTCCAAGGAGTCTATTGTAGTTCACAGACATTATCTCATTCCTCCTATTCTGTTCTGTGAAGGTGTTACCAGGCAGGTAATTCCCAATTTATAGCTGAAAGAGGAAAAAAGCTAACAGAGGTAAGAACAGCAGGAAGCTCAAGGTTGTTGCCTTTTGTAGCTCAACATCACATTTTATTTATTGGATCAGCCTGTCTCATTGACAGTCTCTGATTTAGCAGTTGTATTTCTATTTAAAAAAGAAAGAAAAGAAAGAAAGAAAGGAAAAGAACAAGAGTCCCATCCAGAGGAAGATGTAATGCTGCTTGGAAAATGAAACTGGCAAGCACCATCTTTTTGCAGAACAAAAAGTCCCAGAACAAATGACCAAAACACACACACACACACACACACACCACTGTGTGTCATTGTCTATTGGCAAGAATTTTTCACAAAAAGAAGAAAAAAATGTACTACGCTGACCTGGTGTTTAATTTATCATCAACCTTTTCATTGTAAACATTTTTCACACATATGTCCCAATAGGTAGTGGAACATAATTTTTAAGAATTTGCCAAAATGTGGACGTCAAATACCCGTGGATATTTAGTATGCCTATTATCTGTTTCTTTCACTTCTTAATTTATGTCCTGAAAATCTGTTTCTAGTTTGATTAGAGGTCCTATGCATATTTGTATTGGGACACTTATATACTGAGTTCAGTCATTGTGAATGCAAAGTCTACATCCAGAGAAACACTTATTTCAAATGGGGCTAGTAGTTAAGGTGTTATCACTAATTTTAAAATGTTGAACTCCCTCCTGGGTCTTACTTTTCCCCATTTTGTTGCTTTTACCATTCTTAAAATGCCTGAAGCTATTGCAGTAGTAATCTCTGCCACAGCCCCACCCAACCATCTTTAAGGTGATATTTTTTCTTTTTCTATTCTTGAAAAGAATGATGATTAATAACTTCAGTTGGCTGCGAGTGTGAAAAGTAAGGTGTATTTTTACCCAAAAACATTACCATATGGTCATGTCACTGTGCTTTCTGGAAAGTCTTGGAAGTGCATGATGAGTTCACTCTCTCCTAATGTTCTTTTTTCCACCTCCAAGGAATTCCTATCATATGGAAGGTTTTAAATTACTCAGACCCTAGGATGTTATTGGGCCCATGAAGAAAGTGAGGATTTCCCTAGAGTACCTGGTGAGAGAACCTGTAGCCAGCGGATATATGGCTTCCTCACCCGTATCCGCATTCCTTACATCTCTCTCTGGCAAGCCATGCTAGCATTTGAAAGGTCTGATGTCCATAAAGTGGCCCCAGAGGAGCTGCCAACTCACAGTGTGGAGAGGCCTGACCCTGCCAATTTGAAGAATTGGGGCCCAAAATTCTGTGTTTCCTTGATTGTGTATAAATTTTCGAATCCACATATACCTGCCCGTACATCATTGCCACGTGTTTAAGTAGACCCAATGTTCTACCTTCTCAGTTACTGTTTTTCCTACTATACTATACATATATTATGCTTTCCCCCTTTTCATCATAAAAGTAAGATTTTTCTTGGTATTCAGGTAAATGGTCATGACATAGCTTATTGGGTTTTTTTTCTCAGATATTGATGAGTGTGTGAATCCAAGTACTTGTCCAGAGGAGCAATGTGTGAATTCTCCTGGATCTTACCAGTGTGTTCCTTGTACAGAAGGATTCCGAGGCTGGAATGGACAGTGCCTTGGTAGGTACTGTAGTTTGCTTATCAAAGTTTTATTTCTTCTGTGTACCCTATTTTCTGATAGAATGGTGTAATGTCATTAGTAAGCACTCTTTCAAAATGAGAAAAATAACGTAATAAATTTCTAACATTCTAAGAAAGCTTTAAGGAAAAGGTCTAAAGTCATTTTTAACCTTGGAGAAAATAAGAAAATGGATGGCATGGAAGATGTGAGATTCTAGATGAGGCAAATAATTCTGATTGAAAAAAATGTGTTAGCCTTAATGTAATAAACAACCAAAAAAAAAAAAAAAAAA